GAAGAAGAAGAAGAAGAAGAAGAAGAAGAAGAAGAAGAAGAAGAAGACAAATAAATACGATATAAAGGGACCCTTCAGCTTAAAAGAACTCTTTGTTCCCAAAGGTTCTGCTCAGCTTCGCAGAGTTTGGAAGCCGTCCGCTTGCGTTCTTGTCACTTTTTCAATGACGTTGTAACTTCGAAACGCTCACTAAACAAATTGTTGTAAGTCGAGGTCTACCTGTGTATCCAAGGAGCCACGTAAGATCTGATGGCCATGTCCCCAGGTGCTTGTGCCACGGGGTGAGCTCTGGTGACAGATAATCCTATTATGCCCTGGAGCAGGGCTCTTCAAATTTGACAGCTTTAAGACTTGTGGACTTCCACTCCCAGAGTTCCTCCTCCAGTCATGTCACCTCAGGAATTCTGGGAGTGGAAGTCCACAAGTCTTAAAGCTGTCAAGTTTGGAGACTCTTGCCCTGGAGCATCTTAATCCCATACCCTTGGAGCTGAAGGCCTTCTGTCTTGTAGGCAGACTGGCCTAGTCCTGCTCAATGGGCACCAAAATACCTGCAGGCAGGGAGCTGCTCTGTGTCTAAAAATCACATTTCTCCTTTTTTCATCCACCAGGGAAATATAATATTCTGTCTTTTTAATATTTCCTAGAATATTTCATTCTTCTAGGAGAGTGGTGGGGGTGCTAACTTTCTACACTGCCAAAGACCCTGGAGGGGAAAGAAGAAGAGCTGTTTCAAAGGTCCAGGCGGACTTTTGTTGTGGCCTGCCAGCAGCCAGCGGAGCTGTGGGCACACTCGGACAGTGAAGAGGTTGGAGGAGGAACAGGGGCCAGTCCGGGAGTCTGGGGAAGGCTCTGACGAGGGCTCTGCATCGGAGGCAGAGATGGAGCCAGGGCCCTCTGACAGTTATCAGCTGCCTTCGGAATTGGAGATCAGCGGGGAAGAAGAATAGCTGGAGCCTGTTCCTGAGGTGCGCATGTGCAGAGCTGCCAGGAGAAGGGAACAGCTAACGAACAAGGACCAACTCAGGAATAAAGCCACAGGTGGACGGTGGGGAATTTATTCCTCCCATGGGGAATAAAGAGGAGGGAAAGGGGAGTGGGCTTTGCAGGAGACAATTAATTCATTTAATGAGGGTGAAGATTTGTTCCTGACTCCTTGCCGAGTATTTTCTGATACAGCTGATGCTTGGAAGCCATCAGCCTGGCAGCTCTCCAAGCCTGATAAGGTCTGTGGTCGTAAATCACTCTTGAAAGACTGTTTGCCAGGACATTCGCTGGATGCGAATGAGAAGAATTCACACTAGCCTAATAAAAAAAGGGGTTTTTTGTCGGGACGAGGAGGAGCCTTGCTTCGTGATTTTGGAAAGCCTGGGTCAGAACAACTCTCTTTGGCCAGATGAGAAAGAGACCAGGAGCACCGCTCTCTCCATTGAGATTCGTCTTTTCGTCGCCAGTTTGTATCAGGTTCCTCCCGAGTTCTGTAGGATCTCCTGCAGAAGAAGGTCAGTCGGAGACAGAAGCGGTGGTGTTGAATGTCAAGGAAAGGAATAAAGGAGCCTTGTTCCCCATTCAGGATCCATTTACAGTTTCCATTCATTATTCATCGGGGAGGAAAATCTCAGCTGTATCAAACCGGCCCTCACAAGACACACACAAAAAAAGCCCACCCACTCCCTTCCTCCGTGAGATCTTGACCAACGTAGACAAAGGCAGCTGGCAAAATGGTCATTCTTGGGAGCTTAGGCATCCTCTGCGCTACAGAAGAATTCAGATCCCCCCCCACCCCTCCAGCATTTTTGGACCGCTGTGTAAACAGGACAAAATCTCACGGTTTTTGAGTCCTCCCCTCAGTTGTAAATTATGAAGAGGAACTGACCAAGGAGAGGTTCAACCTGGAACTAAGGATAAATTTTCTGACAATGAGAACAATCCACCGATGGAACAGAAGTTGCCTTTGGGAATTGTGGGAGCTTCATCCCTGGAGCGTTTCAAGGAGAGATTGGATTGCCATTTGTCAGAAATGGTGTAGGGTCTCCCGCTTGGGCAGGGGGTTGGACTAGATGACCTACAAGGTCTCTTCCAGCTCTGTGAACCTGTTAAAAAAAATCCCAGGCAACCCCTAGCTATGTCATTCCTTTGAGCCGATTTCAAATAAGATTACATTATACTTCGTATAGGGAGGCGGTGGCTAGGTGGCTAAGATGCTGAGCTTGTTGATCAGAGAGGCCAGCAGTTCGGCGGTTCGAATCCCCAGCGCCGCGTCATGGAGTGAGCTCCTGTTCCTTGTCCCAGCTTCTGCCAACCTATCAGTTTGAAAGCATGTAAAAAATGCAAGTAGAATAATAGGGACCCCTTTGGTGGGAAGGTCACAGCGTTCCGTGCGCCTTCGGCATTTAATCCTATCAGCCACATGACCACGGAGACGTCTTCGGACAGCGCTGGCTCTTCTTCAGCTTTCCCTTACTATACTTTGTCCACGGACCAGGATCTGTGAATAGAAAGCATTGTATGCAGAACCTTCTTCCTGTCACCTTCCCAACTTACGTTCGCCTTCCAGTTGCGGCTTGGGTCCCCTCTGCAGGCCCGCCGTGACCCTCCCCGCTCAGCCCTGCAGGCCCTGGATACAAATTCCCTCGTCCTGCCACAGAGGACAACCCTGCTGCAATGCAGTCGCTCTCCTTCTGTACTCCGGCACTCTTTCAGTCTTGCAAATAAGCAAGGCTTCCCTCCTGTCCAGCTGGCGAGTCCAATTCCTCTGGACTCCTGCTGGCGACAGGCAGGCGCTGTTGCCTTTGATTGCTCTCTCTTCTGAGCTGACTCCGAAGAAGCAGGCGGCAGTGGGATGCAGGCTGACCGAGCGTGCGTGTGGAGCAGTTATCTCTGCTTAGAGAGACTCTACACCCACCCACCCACCCGCTTTCCCTCCCGAGTAGACTCTGATGTGGTTATGAAAGGGGACTGCATAACCACCAAGGGGGAAAAAACCGCCAAAGTCAGCTAGAAACACCAGCGTCCAAACAGCTTCACCTGACACCCGGGGTATGTAGGAGGCGCTGCTGCTGCTGCCTCCTCTCCAGATTGAATTATTAATCGGGAACTTCACCTCGCTGCTCAGCCTCGCTCCCTTCCCACCTGCAGAGGGTGGGCTGATGGAAAGGTAGGTTCACCTTGGCACCTTCCGATTGTCATCGGTGTCTCCAATTGTAAATGCTTCTGGTTTTTTTTTTTGAACAGGGCTTTAGATGATAGTCCCAGCAGTGATCCGATGCGGTGATTCAGTGCAAGAGAATCCAAGGAGTTAGACTTTCTCCAAGCCATGTGTTATTTTACATAGTTCTGATGAGCCAACGTTTCCCCATGCTTGCTTGCTTGCTTGCTTACCTGCCGAGTGAACGCTGTCATCCTTTCCCTAACTCTCCGTTTCTCCGATTATCGTACAAGGTTTAAAGGAAAACCTCTCCATGATCGGTTTACCCTCCGGGATTCCCGAAGAGCAGCTGTCGGCCATTTGCTAAGCCACCATGAATCCAGAGGCACCGTGGCTCGTATTTTGTATTGGGGCTGGACCCTCCAAGGTCCCCCTTCCAGCTGCATTCCGATTTTCCTTTTACGTAGGGATTTGTCGCGCGAGGCGAACCAACCGTTGTTGTCGTTTTCTCCGTTTCTTCTTTCAGACGATCATGATGTCGCCCCGAGGGAAGAACTGGAAGTCCATGGGTAAAGGCCTCGTCCTTGGGACTCTGCTCACCAGCTTCATGCTGGTTCTCTATTCGTACACTGTCCCACCCTTGCAAGTCGGCATGACCGAGTGAGTGAATCCAGCGTAGGCGGGGCGACCGCAGGGGTGGGCTTCAAAAATGTGAGCAACCGTTTCTCTGCCCAATGGCTGGGTGGGCAGGGCCATGGTGGGTGTGGCCTAATCAGCCTCCTGCACCAAGGGGAGGGGGGCGTTTTCACCCTCCCCGGGCTCCAGAGGTTTTTCTCGAGCCTCTGGGAGGGCCCGAACCTCCTCCCCAACAGAGGTGGCGTTCAGCAGGTTCTGACCAGTTCTGGAGAACCGGTAGCGGAACTTTTGAGTAGTTTGGAGAACTGGCCAATGCCGCCTCCGATTGGCCCCTCCCCCCACCCCTTTTCTCTGCCTCCCATCGAGTCCCAGCTGATCGGCTGGGTCTCCTTTGGTTGCCCTGCAGAGAAGAACGGAACTGGAAAGCAGGTTAGAAGGGTGGAGAGGGAATGGGGATTTTGCAGTATATCTTTCCCCTGCCATGCCCACCAAGCCACGCCCACCAAGCCACGCCCACCAAGCCATGCCCACCAAGCCACGCCCACCAAGCCACGCCCACAGCTGATCAGCTGGGTCTCCTTTGGTTGCCGTGCAGAGGAGAACGGAGCTGGAAAGCAGGTTAGTGGGGTGGGGAGGGAAAGGGGATTTTGCAGTATATCCTTCCCCTGCCACGCCCACCAAGCCACGCCCACCAAACCACGCCCACAGCTGATTCAGCTGGGTCTCCTTTGGTTGCCGTGCAGAGGAGAACGGAGCTGGAAAGCAGGTTAGTGGGGTGGGGAAAGGGGAAAGGGGATTTTGCAGTATATCCTTCCCCTGCCACGCCCACCAAGCCAAGCCACGCCTGCTAAGCCATACCCACAGAATCAGTAGTTTAAAAACTTTTTTTGAATCCCACCACTGACCAGAGGTCAATAGCAGGTCTGGAACATTTGCTGAGCAGAAAAGGAGTGACAACGTCTCCTGGATTCCGGGGGGGGGGGGGGGGTTGGAGAGAGAGAAAAAAAGCAACAACCCTTATTTATTTTTCCTTGTTTTTTAACTTTCCTTCCACCCAGGATTCCCATCCCTTATTCATGCTCGTCCTACCGCAGCCAGGCCCGACTCTCTGCTTCGGGGAACAGCAGCCAGGGCTCCCCAGGAGAAAAATGCCTCCCCAGGCTAAACATCATGTTCCTGAAGACCCACAAAACAGCCAGCAGCACCCTCGCGAATATCCTCTTCCGCTTTGGGGAGAAGCACCGCCTCAAGTTCGCCTTCCCCAACGGGCGCAGTGATTTCTACTACCCGTCCTTCTTTGACCGCAGCCTGGTGAAGGACTACCAGCCCGGCGTGTGCTTCAACATCATTTGCAACCACATGCGCTTCCAGTACGAGGAAGTGCGCAAGTTGCTGCCGGCCGATGCCTTCTTTGTGACGGTGCTGCGGGACCCGGCCTATCTCTTCGAGTCTTCTTTCCATTACTATGGGGGCCTCATTCCTTTGACCTGGAAGTTGTTGGGAGACGATAAGCTGTCCGAATTCCTCAGGGACCCTTGGCATTACTACGACCCTAAAAGCTTCAACGCGCACTACCTCCAGAACCTCCTTTTCTTTGATTTGGGCTACGACAGCAACACAGACCCCAGCAGCCCCCTGGTTGAAGAGTACATCCGCGAGATCGACGGGCGTTTCCATCTGGTCATGCTTCTGGAGTACTTTGACGAATCCCTGGTGCTCCTGAAGGACCTGTTATGTTGGGAGCTGGAGGACATCCTCTACTTCAAGCTCAACGCCCGCAAGGGCTCCACTGTCTCAAAGCTGACCGACGAGCTCTACCAAAAAGCCACGGTTTGGAACCTCCTGGATGCCAAGCTCTACCAGTACTTCAACACCACGTTCTGGCACAAAGTGGAAGCCTACGGGGTGGCCAGGATGGCGAAGGACGTCGCCAGGCTCAACGAAGAGAACGAGAAGATGAAGAGCATCTGTATCGACGGGGGCCATCCCGTGGACGCCAACGCGATCCAGGAATCCGCCATGCAGCCCTGGCAACCGTTGGGCGAGGAGTCCATCCTGGGCTACAATTTGAAAAAGAGGATCCACAAAAAGCACCGGAAAATTTGCCGCAAAATGCTGACCCCCGAGATCCAATACCTGACGGACCTCGGGGTCAACCTGTGGATCACCAAGCTATGGAGGTGGGTGATGGATTTTTTTGCAGTGGTAAGAGGGTGAGGAGGCCCCTCGCCACGTGGTAAGCACCTCTTCTCTCCACTCGTTTGGTTCCTTGCCTTTCTACTCTCTTCTTCTTCTGGTTGGTCAGGCATATGCTGAACTCACCTTGCGGCCACCGACTGACGGGAAAATTATCTCTAGAATAAAAATGTTCCCGAAGGTGAATTTTTTTAAAAAAGAGAAAAGTTGACCAAGGCTTGTAACCAAAGTAGGGAGAGAAGGTGCTGTACCTATGACTCGATTTTTGGCTGGACTTTCGGGCAAGAAAGAAAGTATAACTGAAGCAGAAGGCTCAGTCTGCATTCTCAGCTCTCGGAGGTCGTTCCGCCGTTTTTATCCTCCCGATGAGCACGGTGAAAACCAGACCAAGAAGCTTCCAACCAGTTGCAGTATTTGGCCACTCGGAATCTCAGTTCTCTTCTCAGAGCCCAACTCTTGTGGACCACAATCGCCACGAGTACAATATGAGTGCGTGGAGATAACGTGTTGGTACATCGTTTCTTTTCTTTGTGAGTAGGAGGACTGGATGCCCATTTCCTAGAAGCAAATCGAACAGGTAGCTTGCCCCGAACGATGGGAAAGAGAGAGAAGGTGCCTTGGTGGAGCAGTACAATTTTTCGTGTACGTTGAGCAGATCTGCCCCCAAAACACGGTTGTGACCTCCGAGTACTGTAATTTTCTGCTGAAATTTTGGAGCACCAAATCCTAGTTTTCAGGGAACTTTGCGGAGAGAGAAGCCAGGTGCTCAATTTGGCATCGCTGTTACGGTTTTATAGTGCCGGCATCCCTGTGTGAAACTTATGTATTTGCAGTGAGCTACACGTGCTATGAATGTGTATTTCTGTAACAGGTGCATACATAAATTCCCCCGTTGAACCACAGTGGTATTTTGTTCGCTTGCCTTTACTATGTTCTCAAACCGGCGCTGAGCATTTTTGTCGCTTGCACGAATGGGAGCTGAGTGTATGCTTCCCTGGGTGCCTCAAATCCCTCTCTGCTTTAAAATTGCACACAAAAACGGTGTAAAAGGCAAAGATGGATTTTTCATGAATTCACAGCATTCTGGGCAGTCCATTCTGGTCAACGAACACCAATGTAAGTCCCCTTCTTGTAATTTCAGGGAAACTGAGGCAGTGGATCATGGCCAGGAGAATTGCTACTCAGTAAGAGGCAGAGGATTGGCCAGGCAATTGGTTTTTTTTCACAAACTTCTCTTTTAATTGCATTGGGTGCTTACAGAGAGAATTGATTTGGAGTCGTCTTATGGATTTCTGAATTACAGATTCCACTGTGGGCGAGACTGGATGTATCTTGCACCGACTACTCTCAGAAACCATCAGTGTGCAGTGTGGTTTCTTTTGCTCATAAATAACATGTTTTTGTTTTCACTCAGTAGTTAGTAATAAGTGGGTTTCTTTACATATTCTCTTAAACATTTGAGTTATCAGCAAATAGGCTGAAAAACCAAAGAAAAACATTGCCTCCTGAGGCACCCCAAACATTAACTGTCACTTACCCAAATCCAATAAATGCAAGCTATTCTCAAACAAAAGTAAAACAGAACCTTGATCATTTCTGGGTTTCAAACCCTATCCTTGGGGGAACAGGATGTGATGATAAAAAAAAACAGGGGAGCTGCAAATGGTATTAAAAGATAGCCAGAATAAAACACTTTGGGTTTAATTGTTGGTGTCCGCAGAATGCTTGGATCTTTGTGAGTGGGTGTCTGTGTGTGCAAACGTCTATCTGTGTGTTTTGTGTATGGTCACCCAACTGAGCCTTGAAACATCTTTTATACCTCCAGGTGCAACAAAAACCCACCCTGGTTTCCTCCTTCAAATACGGGCTTGTTATTCTAACTACCCAGAGCTAATAACCTCAAAGATCTCACGAGTATTTTTCCTCCCTCCGAGGAGACCTTAGTTCCCGCACAATGGGATCCAGACAGGGGTGGGATGCAAATTTTTAAACTACGGGTTCTGCGCCTTAACTGCTACACTAGTGGCTTATCAGGTATTGAACCAAGTGACCTGCCATACCTGTCACACCCTGGGTAACTTCCAAGCATCCTCAAAATCATTTGCAAACATTGGGCACCTACAATGAACAGTCCAAAGAATTTGCGTCCAGTGTATCCTGAGTTATTCATTACCTCTGCATCAAAGCATGGTGTGACTTCCTCCATCTCCAGATCATACAACACCTGCTCTAAAAAACAAACAAACCAAGATCAAAAGTATGCTCACCTACATAATATTATTTGAAACCCACAGTTGTCATGGAGTCTAGGAATTCCTGAGTTTTACCGAAAGCCATGGCAAGGCACGGTGGTTCTTTTAGTATAGTTTATCTTAATAAAATCTAGTTCTGGTCTTCCTCCAGCCTAGTCTACACCTTGTAGAGCTAGCTGGCTGGCTGGCTGGCTGGCTCAGTATGACATGTTATCTCCAAACCAATCTGGCTTGCTTGGCAAACCATGATTAAACCTAACCCAGCTGTTATAGACCTTCCTTTGTTAAGTTATGAGATCAACGCAGCCCATTGCCTCAGGCTGTGCGTTCTTCAAAAATGATTCCAAAGAAGTTTTTTTGTTAATGTGGACTCACAACCCCTAAAGCATCCTTGGATTCAACCCATACACATTTGTGTGAAACTTGAATATCCTCTGGCTAGTTTCATAAACAGCAGAAAAGAGTTAACGGTCGCCTGAGGTCAGAAGACTTCATCTGAATTCTCTTTGAAGCCCTAGTACAGAGGTCTCTAAACTCGGCAACTTTAAGACTTGTGGACTTCAACTCCCAGAATTTTCTAGAATTCTGGGAGTTGAAGTCCACAAGTCTTAAAGTTGTCAAGTTTGGGGACTTCTGCCCTAGTAGAAACAATCAACACATGTTCAAATATTTTGCTGGCCCATAAACTGGCTTGCTTGCAAACCCCAACATTGACAGCTTGTAAACTTGCTATGTTGGGGCAAGCTCAGACAATTGTGGTTTCCTCAATAAACCCTGGTTTAACATGAGATGGTAACCCAGGCGCACATAAATTTGCTTCTGTGCCTTTCATAAAAGCATTGAGCACGAACCACTAAAGACAGAACAATAAATGGTTGTGAAATGAAGAGGGACAGTGGCCAAGTAGTTGAAAAATTGTCCTTGTCAATTCTAACATCTGGTTGGGGTCAGGGATCCAGCTCACATGTCATTCTGAGCAATGGTTAATTAAACCCTGGTTTATCAAATCAATATTGACCGAGGTTCACATCTCACACTAAGCCAGTCTCCAAACTTGGCAACTGTTAAGCCTTGTGGACTTCAACTCCCAGAATTCCCCAGCCTTGCTTTACCTTTCTAAATGTTTCAAGCCGTTTCTCGAACATTAAAATCATTCCAATTGTCTGAATCCAAATTCAGGTTTGATTTATTTCCGCCCCCCAGTTTTGAGTACCTGTCAGCCTTTTCTGGTAGGTCTCTTTGCTGGCCCCTCCAGAGCAAACCAAACAAAAAGAAAAGAGAGAGGAGAACTCTACCTTCAGTTTGGGCCTTTCTTCTTGAAAATTTTCAATAATGAGAAGACCAGGTGGAGCCTCCAGCAGCACCTGTGTGTTTCTGGGTGGGGCTATCTCTGGGGAGGAGATAAAGAGATGCTCATGAGACAGAGCCTGGCTTCCTTCTTCTGTGTTGCAAGCGGAGAGCCAGCAAGATGGGACTTCAGAGGACCATTTTCACACTCTTGGTCTGGATGCTGCTGGAAGCCACGACAGCTCAAAGGGGTAACCATGGTTTTTCCTCTAGGTCACAGCTGAGTTAGGAGGAAGTGGCTGCAAGTGAATCTCATTCTCTCCACTGAAAACAAGGCTTTTTTTTTCTGAATTGCAAGAAAGTGGTGGTGGAAATAGAAACGCGTTTCCGCTCCCACGTTCTTCTGATGGAGTTTTAAGGAGGAGCTGAACCTGGAATTGTCCACCATGAAATAAACTTTGCTTTGGGTGTATTGTGTGACCCCCCCTAGGTGGCATGGTTAATCTATGGTTTAATGTGCCTTGAAAAGCTAAAAAAAAACCAAGATCCTAGATTAATGGAATAAACTGGTTTAGTGAATTATAAGCAATGTGGCAAGTGATCAGGAATAGTGGTTGACTTTATAATTTACACTAAGCCATAGTTTCCAAATGCTACTGATTTGTAGTTCAATCATGGTTTATTGCATTAACGCAAGCGAGTTAATTATATATTAATCATAATGCATGTGAAATAAAGCTTCCCTTGAGTTCAGCTTGAAATCTGATGACCACCTAGACCCCCCAAAATATATTTTTAAGTCTCCCCCCCCAAAAAAGGTCTGATTTAGAGCTCTAACTTAGCCTCCCATCCAAACTGTAACCAGACCTCCTCCTGCTAATCTTCCAAGTTTAGACAAGTTTTTATAGGTGCTGTTACCTACCAATGGAAACCATAAACCATAAACTTGTGGGCCGGAGGTACAGCAGCTAAGTTGCAAACTCACTTTTCATTTTGTAGACCAGAGGTCTCCAAACTTGGCAACTTTAAGACCTGTGGGCTTCAATTCCCAGAATTCCTCAGTCAGAATTCCTCAGTCAGAATTCTGGGAGTTGAAGTCCACAAGTCTTAAAGTGGCCAAGATTGGAGACCCCTAACCCAAGGAACGAAAGTTGTTATAGAATCTGGAAGCCCTGTTAGAAATACCTCGAAACCTCCTCCTAGTAACTTCATGCACATGTCCCTCAGTAACAACAGCAACACAACTTGTGTTGTCTTCTGCGTAGGATGTCTTCTGGCTTCCTGGGGTGGATTACGTTCTAGGACTTCTTGACGTTCTCCATCCAGACCTGGTGATCCGTCAACTCTTTCTCAATCAACTTTGATCTTTCCCACAGTTCCTGAAAACTCCGTTATCTATAAATGCAACAGGACCAGGGTCCATCTGGCTGTCAAAATGGACCCGTGGGGGACTGGCGTCAGGCTGGATCCGGAGTTTCTATACCTGGGCAGCTGCCCTTCTTCACATGTGAACGATGCCTTGGCCTTCTTCCATTTTCAGTATTCGTTCAAGGAATGTCGCTTTGCCCGACTGGTAAGGGACGTTAAGATTTTTCCCTTGAAGTCCGGAGTGGGAATTTGGCGAAAGTTGGTACTGAAAAGCAAGGACTGGAAGTGGACTTGGGCATCTCGGTCTCGGGACCCTTCCTCATTTGTGCCCAAGCATGGCACAAATATCCTTCACCCCCCTCCTAGTGACAGGGCTCTGGCAGTTATTCCCGTTTAAATCATGAGTCTCAAGCCAAACTTCTAACACTTAAAGAAGATTTATTAGGAGTAAACATGCCGGTGCTGCCTGTGTGAAGTCGACTCTGAGACACATAATCCATTGTCACCCTCGACTCTGGTTTTCCCCCACCCCCTGGGTGTATCATAATTCATATTCTCTAATGGGACACATCCATAGCCAAGAGTCATCAATCATGCTCTCCAGTTAGAATTTTGCTCCACAGAAACTTCAGTCCCTTAGTTACTATCTTTGAAAAACTATTTATGGAATGCACTTTCCGTTTCCAAGCTGCTACACTGCTCCCCCTCCCTTTCTGCTGGCAACTCTGAAAAGACCAGAAAAAATATTTTATGAATTGACACCTAGGTCTTCATGAGGTGGACTTAGGTTAAAGTGGAGAAATACGCAGGGACCTGAAAAGAAATCTCAACTTTCTCTTATTCCCAGTGGGACATTTAGGATGCCCTTAGCTCTACCAGATTAAAGATGAGCTACCCTCTTTTAGCCTGACATTTTCAAGGTAGATCAAATGTAGTTTGTCCCACATTATCTTGGAAGGTACTCCGGGGATTGTCAGTCACAGGGGACCAAACTCAAGTCTGCCATTGGCAACACATCTGAAGAGAAAGGCTGCTTTGGGGCAAGGAGGTGTTGAGATCATGCTGGCTGGGGAATTCTGGGAATCTTTAAGTTACCAAGGCTGACAAACACTGGTTCAGTAAACATCCTGACATTCACGTAACATTCTGGTTCTTGCAGACATCTGGCCTCATGGTCGAGTACACAACCCACCTGGTATACAGACCAGTATCCAGCCATGACAGTCCCTTCACAGAACGGATTAATTGCACAACCTATGAGTAAGTGCTAAGTTTGCAGAACTGTACTCAAGGAATAATGGATGGATGCTAGGCAGCACAGCTGATCTGGAAAGAAGAAATTATTCCTAATATTTCTTTTCAAAAACAGCTTACCCAAATTGCTGCTGCTGTCCAATCGTATCTTTTTCCCTTTGCAGATCTTAATCTCGGGAAGTTATGGATCAATTAAATTCATTGTCAAAATGTATTTTTATGTAACAACCATAGTAATATTCAGTCAGTAGATGGCAATGTTTGCAAGTTTTAATCTATGGTATATCTGTTATGCCCTTTGGTTCTAAAAAAGTTTCCTGTTACAGTTAGTTAAAAACAGTTGAGCAGTAAAGCACATGGTGGCTGTACACCCTGCTTGATCCGTATATAGAAACAGAATATCTAAAAACAAAGAAACTGAAAAATGCGAAATGTCGGAATTGATTTCTTTTTCAAATATACCACAACTGACAGGGTTCACTGAAAATGAGCACTAAAATTCTGGGAGTTGAAGTCCACAAGACTTAAAGTTACCGGAATTAGAGAACCCTGTGTTAGAATACCCATAAATCAGACTTCCAGCAATTTGTGGGCTGCCTGTTTGTTGAGCTGTTCAGGCACCCTGTGTTCAGTTCAGGCTCTAATGGACAAATCTCACCCCAACCCCCCGCCTTTCTAGGACACAACGCCTGACTCCTGCCCGAGTTACGGGTTCTGGCTTGCTTTCTGCTTCCAGTGGATTAACGTTCCGAGGGACATTTATGAACGGTAAGCAGAAATTTAATTTAATTACTTATTCATTGAGCCCCAGAAGTTGATTTAGGACTCCCTGCTTATGGTGAGCTTTCTAAATTTTGCAAGCCCCTCAAGAGTCACTTATGTATAAGTTGGGCAGCTATATACATGTGTTCAATGAGTAAATTAAAACCTGTTGCAAGTCCCTTGGTTTTTCTCCCACGGCAGAGGACTTCAGTGGCCCTTCGGATCTGTCGGTCTTTCTCTTGGGGTCACAAATCCATATCGAATTTGCAGTCCAACAATTCTTCCATCAGCCACTGCGGCTTTTTGTGGACGAGTGCATCGCGGCCGATACAGCAGAACTGGGCAGCTCCTTCAGAAATTACACCGTTATTGCAAACCAAGGGTGAGCACTTTCCATCAGCTTCCTTTTTTTGGGCTTTGGCCAGTAGCAAGGAAAATGAGGCATTCACACGTGCTCAAGATTCGTTTGCTTAATCCTGCATGTGAGTGTCCCTCATCCAACAGAGACCCCCCCCAAAAAATGATTTGTTAAACTAAAATCACCCCGATTCTTCAGGGTGAGACGCTGCCTATAATAAGACGGATTTCCAGGAAGGTGTTTGAATGCTGATGGGTGTTTTTCCACTTTTGTGTGTGTGAGACAGGTGTCTGCTGGACAGCAAGTTTGCAAATTCGCGATTCCTCCCTCGACACGCTCCCGACGTGCTCCGTCTGTCTCTGCAGGCCTTTGAATTTGCGGGGATAAACACCGACGTAAGGAACGGAAGATGGTTTGCCTCAGGCTTTCTCTTCTTGAAATAGGTTGAGATTTTCGCTTGCCCTGACATATTTTTCTGAGCAGTGGTGAGGACTAGGAGCTTGAGCTGGGGAAAAGTGAGGTTTGTTCTTTGTGATGTGTCCTTCGGGCTCCTCCCAAAGGACCTCACATCCATTAAGTAACATAAGGGAGACGCCCTTCGGGGGAACCTGTTTTCTGCACCGAGTTCCATCCCAAGGTCTGGAAACGAGATTGGATTTGATTTTGTCATTTTGTTTTTACTTATATTTAATTTTTATTTTTATCATTTTTTTAAAATTTTTATATTAGGTTTATTTTTATTTATAATTTACCTGCAGGGGGATTAATCTGGATAGGTAAAGTCACAAACCAACTTTATTCTATCAGCTGCTACAGGAAATCATTATTTATATACTGTAGATAAGACAGAATACAAGGTTGCATAGAGCCAGACAACCAGACAGATGAGGGCAGCTCTGCAGGAAAATCTAATATGAACATTGTTTTCTCTGAAATCCTTTAATTTTCAGGTTTACCTGCATTGCCAAGTTCTCGTCTGGGAACCAGCAATTGTGACTAACCCCACAAAGAAAGCCTGCTCATTTAAGAGGGATACAAACAGGTAAAGGTCAAAACTACCTAGTAAGACTCTATTCCTATTATTCTCATCCTTCCTAGTACCTATCTCTTCCCACATGACTGTAATGGTGTTGCTTGTATCTTTACAATTTATATTGTTTTATTTGTTTTCTAGTATGATTTGATTGCTTATTAGTAACCTATGACTATCACTAAGTGTTGTATCTTAGGATTCTTGATAAATGTATTTTCATTAGGGTCTCCTGCTTGGGCGGGGGGGGGGTTGGACTAGATGACCTATAAGGTCCCTTCCAACTCTGACTATCTGTTATCTGTTATTTTATTTTTTTTTCTTATGAGAGCATATGTACCAAAGACTAATTCCTTGTGTGTCCAATCACACTTGGCCAATAAAGAATTCTATTCTAAAGAATTCTACTCTGAAGGAACCAGGGTTTATATTTATGCTATTATATATGTCTCCAAATTAAGGTGGTTTTAAATTCTAGTAAACAGGTAGTCCTCAACTTACAATAGCTCATTTAGTGACTGTTTAATGTTACAACATTAAAAAAAAAGCGACTTGGGACCGATTTTCACACCTAGAATCATTGCGGTATCCCCTAACAGTTGTGGTTAGAATGCAGTCCTGTTGACTGCCAGCAATTTGGCAGTTCGATCCTCACTGGCTCCAGGTTGACTCAGCCTTTCCGTCCTTCCGAGGTCGGTAAAATGAGGAGACCCAGTTTGTTGGGGGGGGGCAAGAAGCTGACTCTGTAAACCGCTTAGAGAGGGCTGGAAAGCACTAAGAAGCGGCATATAAGTATTAAGGGCTATTGCTAAGGAGTGGGCGCAGCAAGAAAGGGTCTTGTCCCAGGGGTGACTTGAATTATTCACCCCCAACCAAATGGAGGTTCGGGGTCTGAAATTGTCTCCTCTCTTGCAGGTGGGAAGTTCTGGATGGGACGGCCAACGAGGTTTGCAGGTGCTGTGACTCGGTATGTGAAACCGCTGGTTCTCGTCACAAGAGAGAAGTCAAAGGTACTTTCCCCTTTCTCCTTCCCTTCCCTCCCCTCTTCTCTCCTCTCCTTCCCTTCCCTCTCCCTCCCTCCTTCCCTTTCTTCCTTCCCCAGAGTGCTGGAGAGAGGACAAGGTTGTGAAAAACTGGTCATTCCCAACACCAGCACCAGGAGAATTTAGAAATTCAAGGAAAGAGATTTAGGGAAACTTTTCCATATGCAAATGTTTGAAATGGAACAAGAAAGCCATGCCCAGATTTTGGGAAAGTGCCACATGTCAAAAAGCAGGTTCTCCAAGTACTGTTCCGCCTCCCCTTCAACACGAATCGCTTTCTCATTATTGGCTACCTGATCCTTTTGGATTAAAGGTGGCTTCTCCCTAAATTAGCTTGACTCCTGGAAGACATCGGTAAAAATATCTTGGCAACAACATGGACATGTAAATAGTTTGCCGTTGCTTACATGCTGAAGCGTTCGCTTATAGTTTATTTAGCTGATAGTTGTAGGATTTCCTGGTGGTGACTCATCCAGGGTCTAGAACCAGATTCCACTTGGCTCAGCTTCTGAGCTCAGGCAAGCTCAGCAGTCAAACACTCAACTTTGAAACAACTGGGGTCACGTCCAAAAACTTTCTCAGATCCTTAGGCTTAGGATGACCAACGATGAACGCTTCTTGCTAAAATAATACGTAGCGAAGGGAATAAAAGATTCCTTGTTTTAATCAAATCGATGGAGACACGCCGAATGCTTTCACCTTCCTCGTTAAAAGAGAGGCGGTGGCAACCAAGTTAGACTTAAAGCTGGGAGCGTGGGAAGAATTCCCTTTTTCAACCCCTAAGGAAAACTCTGCCTTGTTCCACTTCAGATCCGGCTTCAGGAGTCGATCCCTTGCAATCCGACTGGTTGGTGGTCGGTCGCTTGACGGTTCGGCGATCTGCACCCAGCGGGGGAGACTCTGAGCGGCGTTCCAACCACGGCCCCCCTCACTGAGGGCCATCGAAGCAAAGTAAGCCAGGAGCTATCCATTTAGCAGCCAGTTCTTTCTGCTAATAGGGGAGAAGAAAGGAGTTATTTCTGCATTTTAACTGGCTCTATTCTGTTCTCAGGGTGTCCGCAGGGTATGATTTAAAAACAAAAAAAAAATCAGGTTGCTAGCCAAAATAAGTAAAGTCAAAAATCTGCCTGTGTTCCTAACAGATACTCAGAGTTGGAAGGGACCTTGTAGGTCATCTAGTCCGACCCCCCTGCCCAAATGGGAGACCCTACACCATTTCTGACAGATGGAAGTCCAATCTCTTCTTGGGAAGCTTCCAGTGATGAAGCTCCCACAACTTCCGAGGGCAACTTCTGTTCCATGAGTTGATTGTTCTCACTGTCAGAAAGTTTCTCCTTATTTTCAAGTTGAATCTCTCCTTGTTCAGTTTCCACCCATTATTCCTTCTCTGGCCCTGGAAAATAACTTGACCCCCTCCTCCTCTCTATGGCAGCCCCTCAAATATTGGAAGATGCTATCCTGTCTCCCCTGGTCCTTCTCTTCCCTAGACTAACCAGGCCCAGTTCCTGCAACCGTTCATCGCATGTTTTAGTCTCCAGTCCCCTCATCATCCTGGTTGCTCTTCTCTGTACTTTTTCTAGAGTCTCAACATCTTTTTTAAAGTGTGGTGACCAAACCATCTCTTTCTGGTTAGTTCGATTTAGCTTAGGTTGTATGAATGGTCTGGAAGCTATGTGTTATGACCTATTAACATGGGCAAAGCTAGCCAGTTGTGGCTTATTCCACAACTGTTTAAACCAGGGGTCCAAAAACTTAGCTGGCTGGAGAACTCTGAGAGTTGAAGCCCACAAGTCTTAAAGTTGCCAAGTTTGGAGACCTCTGGCTTAAACAAAGCACTATTTACTCATTTATTCAATGGAATAATTTATTCAATGATTCATTATTCAATTAAATCATATTTCCCCTTCTTTTGGCAGGAGGGAACATTAAACTCTGAGGTCACCCATTGTGGGCATCCTTCTTCCCGGAATCGCTGCAAATAGCCACCCTTGCCTTGGCCTTCTGTTTTTACAACACTTTTCTGGAAATACTGGACCTACCCAGCAGGGATGTTGTTAACTTTGGAGCCGGACAATGCTAACCGGGATTGTGGCTGTGTATCTATGCTGCTGGGAACGGACTAAATTAAAAGCAACTGAAATGACTTTGCTTGGGTTGATGACATCCTTGAGGTACAAGACCAGACGAGCTGCCAGTACGAAAGGACAGGGACAACATTTGGGTTCAAACATGGGGATCTAAATGAGATGGGGCTTTGGACCCCACCCTGGGCATTAGGGCCACACACTTTATTCTCTATAGATTCAGTCTATGTGGTACCTGGCTCAATAGTAGTAACTGTGAGGGGGATCTCGGAGTCGTAGTGGACAACCATTTAAATATGAGCCAGCCTTCTGCAGTGGCTGCCCAAAAAGCCAACACAGTTCTAGGCTCCATAAACAGAGGGATAGAATCAAGATCACTTGAAGTATTAATACCACTTTATAAGGCCTTGGTAAAGCCACACTTGGAATACTGCATCCAATTTTGGTCTCCACGTTGTAAAAAAGATGTTGAGACTCTAGAAAGAGTGCAGAGAAGAGCAACAAAGATGATAAGGGGACTGGAGGCTAAAACATACGAAGAACGGTTGCAGGAACTGGGTATGTCTAGTCTAATGAAGAGAAGGACCAGGGGAGACAGGATAGCAGTCTTCCAATATTTGAGGGGCTGCCCCAAAGAAGAGGGAGTCAAGCTATTCTCCAAAGCACCTGAAGGCAGGACAAGAAGCAATAAGGATGGAAATGAACCAAGGAGAGAAGCAACCGAGAACTAACGAGGAATTCTTTCACAGTGAGAACAATTCATCAGAGGAACGACTTGCCACCAGAAGTTGTGAATGCTCCAACGCTGGAAGTTTTTAAAAAGATGTTGGCTAACTATTTGTCTGAAGTGGTGTAGGGTTTCCTGCCTAGGCAGGGGGTTGGACTAGAAGACCTCCAAGGTCCCTTCCAACTCTTCTCTTCTAAATGCCCTTTTTCACACTTGAGCCTTTTCAGGGGTCTTTAGCAGAGGTGGTATTCAGCAGGTTCTGACCAGTTCTGGAGAACTGGTAGTGGAAATTTTGAGTAGTTTGGAGAACCAGCAGATCTCACCTCCGACTGGAGATTTTACAGTATCCTTCCCCTGCCATGCCCATCAAGCCATACCCACGGAACCGATCGTAAAAAATAATAATAATGAATCCCACCACTGGTCTTTAGATGTAGATTGGGGTCCTCCACCCCATAGCAGCTTAAGCAGAAACCCATTTTCCCTTTAAATCAGCATCGTAACATGGCTTGGTGTGCTGTCGTTTTTTGAAGCCTTTGAGTCAGTTTTAGAACGTAGAATCAAAGGGCTGGAAGGCGGCTTGGAGCTCAAGTAGAAGACCATATAATCCTGGTCAAATGGTTGTCCAGTTTCTTCTTGAAAATGATGCAGCACCCACAATTGCAAGAGGCAAGCTGTCCCACTGGTTGTTCTCTTCCAGCTTCTTGGATGAGAAGCAAAACATCTTCAAAATAAAAAATAAAAAAAGTCCAGTTGCCTCTTGAAAAAGCACCTTTGGGATTTAAGTTACTAAGGTAGACAAACATTGCTCTACCTGGTCAGCTTCCTACCCCCAAAACCAATGCTAAACCACACCTGCAGGTGACTGAGCTATAAAACCATAATGCTTTATCCAGTGCACACAATGTTCTGAGTTTTGTTGACAAATGAAACCAAAACACAACCCGAGGTCTGTTTACAGGCCCACATTGGTTTATTGGATTTTGTGAATTGGTTTTGCATCCCAAACAAGACATGGAAATCCAGCTACTGGGTGTGCATGTAACACAAATCATTTGGTTATTTAATGTGTGCTTTGGTGTGTTGTATGAAGGTGACAGTGTGCCGGTAACATGTTGGTGAGCCCAACCCGCGTGGCTTGTAAATCACAGCTTAGTGCATTATGCAAAAACAGCCAATTCTGGCATTCAACAAACTCACCTTTTAAATTTTTTATTTCATTACATTTCTTTAAAAAACCCATACAAAAAAACCGAACTGATGAAAACATGAAAACTATAAACACAAAAGTGAATACAAAAAGTACCATCAAGATATTTATGGATCAAACTATATATGTATGAACATTTCCAATTTTTTAAAATGTAAAATATCAAGACATTTATGCCAAAGGGATACATGGCATATCATTTTTAATTAACAGGAAAAAAAAAAGCCTTTTTGGTAGAAAAAAAAAAGTTAACCACCATTAAACCAGCCACTGTGAGAGATAACCGATCAGAGCTGGAGACCTGGTTCTCTTCTGATAACATGGATTACGATTCCCACCCTTTCTTCACATTGGCCATGTTGGCTGAGAACCATGGGATATGAAGTCCAACATTTTGGGAAGGAGCAGAGTCACTTTGTCTTGCTCCAGTGTAAAAAAGCAAAATGTACACACACCGTAGCAGATCCGTTGTATAGTTGCACCCTTGCTGTTTAAGGAAAAGAGGCCCCCTGGACCTCATTTGGTCTCCAGCTCCCATCGACCTGAGCCACTAGAAAAGGAGAGAGAGAGCTGGCTTGGATTGCGGTTCAGGGATAGGTATCAATATAGAATATTAATACCACTTTATAGCACCTTAGTTAAGGCCACCATTGGAACACTGCATCCAGTTTTGGTCACATTACAAAAAAAAAAAGACGCTGAGACTTTGGAAAGAGCACAGAGAAGAGGAACTAAGATGATTAAAGGCATGGAGAACAAAACATACGAAGAACGGTTGCTGGAATTGGATATGTCTAGTGAAAAGAAGGACTAGTGGTGACATAGAAGAGAAGAGAGAAGGGAGAGGAGAGAGGAGGGAGGAGAGGAGAGAAGAATTGGAAGGTATCTTAGAGGTCTTCTATTCCAACCCGCTGCCCAAGCAGGAGACAGTATACCATTGCAGACAAATGATAGCAGAGTTCCAATATCTCAGGGGCTGCCCTAAAGGAGAGGTAGTCAATCTATCTTTTACAAAGCACCTGAAGGCAGGACAAGAAGCAACGGGTGGAAACTAACCGAGGAGAGAAGCAACGTAGAACTAAGGAGGAATTTCCTGACAGTTAGAACAATTCATCAGTGGAACAAATTGCCTCCCGAAGTTGTAAATGCTCCAATGCTGGAGGGTTGTTTGTTTTTTTTAAAAAAAGAGACCTAACAACCGTTTGTCTGAAGTGTTGTGTAGGGTTTCCTGCCTGAGCAGGGGGTTGGACTAGAAGACCTCCAGGGCCCCTTCCAACTCTGTTCTTCTGTTAAGAGGGATTGACCAATCAGCACTGGAAGAAGCACCATCAGGTGAGCCCGGTTTTGTCCCAGGCAATCAATGGCCATTTAAGGAGGTCTGGGGACAGCTGCGTTTGGATGGGAGAATCTCCTCCAGAGGCAGGATGGTGCTTTGTAGAAGAGTTTGGGGTGTTCTTTTCCTGGGTGAGTCCAAAACAGGGTTGCAAACAAAAAAGGAGATTTATTTTTTCCCCTTCTCAAGTTCTGAATTTATTTAGGAGCTGCCTCTTGGTCTGCAGTCTTTGTTGTCTCCAAGTTCTTTGCCATTTTGTGGAATGAATATATATATATATATATTGGACCTTGGTTTCTTTTCCTCTATAAACAAGGGTTTTTTTTGTCTTTAATATATTAATACCTTTGGGCCTCACATTGTTCCACTTGAATGCTTAGGGAGCATCCTAAGAGGCCAGTTCACTTTTTTTAAAATTTATTTTATTTATTTGGTTTGTCAATTGCTTACAAGATAATAGGTAAAAGTAAAAACATAGTTATGAGTACATGGATACATATAAGAAAAATAAAATAAAATAGAGGTTTATCTGCAGCATCTTTAGTTAAACCAGTTCCTTGGTTGTTGTTGTTTTTTGGATTATTTAAAGACTTGGCCTCTCTACACCTCCTTCAGTTCACCTTGTTGAACTTGCTACTAATCCTGATTTACAGCCATAGTGTTGAGCTGAGAGAAGTGTGTTTGCCGGTCGCTCTTGGCTTCGTTTGATGTGAAAAACCCCACCTCAAGAAAGAAATTTCTTTTTTGGGTTGGAGTAGAAGACCTCTAAGGTCCCTTTTAACTCTGCTTTTCTCATTCTAATTCAAATTGCCCTTTACAAACCACGAGGGATGGGTTTGTAAAGAAGCTTTTCAAATAATGTTGGTGAGTAGGTGTGTGTGACATGAGAAGCAGGCTGAGGGAGCGAAGCCAACAGATTCCGGATCAGCCATTTTGTTCCTTCTGTCTTTTCAGCAACTCAGCTTTTGGCCCAAGGAAATGGCGGCTTTTCCTCCCCAGTTACGGCTCCCAATTCTCTTCCGGCGACCACGGAGGAAATGAACTTCTTCCAAAAAGTCTATCATGGTAAGCAGCCTGTTTTGCAGGCGCAAAAGAGCGTGAATGTTGCGTGGAGATTTCAACTCGGGGAAGAGATGCCTTGCATCTCAGGGAAGGGATGGGAGACCACTCAGTGCAGCGTCAACCAATCGATTGGCAGAGAGCTGGAAGGGACCTCTGAGGTCTTCTAGTCCAACACCCTGCTCAAGCAGGAGACCGTCTACCATTTCAGACAAGTGGCTGTCCAGTCTCTTCTTTAAAAACCTCCTGTGATGGAGCAGCCACAACTTCTGGTGGCAAGCTGTTCCACTGGTTAATTGTTCTCACTGTCAGGAAATTTCTCCCTCCCTCCCTCCCTCCCTTCCTTCTCTCCCTCCCCTCCCTCCCTCTCTCCCTCCCTCCCCTCCCTCCCTTCCTTCCCTCTCCTTCCTCTCCTCCCTTCCTTCCTTCCCTCTCCTTCCTTCCTTCTCTCCCTCCCTTCCCTCCCTCTCGCCTTCCCCTTCCTTCCTCCCTTCCTTCCATCCCTCCTTCCCCTCCCTCCATTCCTTCCTTCCCTCTGAGGTCCTTGACATACACACCTCAGATTGGGTGCCCAGTTTGAGCTATTGTGGGTGGGAACATGGGGTAACTTTTATGTGATTTTCACGTCTGTTGCCTCAGATCTTGTATTTCTTCTGATGCTACTTCAAATTCAGTAAAAGTCCTTTCCTCTATAAACGGAGTCGAAGGTTTTCTTTCTTGGATTTTGAACAGAGCCTCACCTGACACCCAGCTTGGAAAATGGCCGTAAACATCTGGTCCAGTTAACCTCTCTCTCTCTCTCTCTCTCTCTCTCTCTCTTTTGCTTCCTCCTTTTCCATTTCCATCCCAGCTGCAAGGGAACTGATGTGGCGTGACTCCCCCCGTGCCATGAAACCTACGGCAAACGACTTGCCGATTCCCCCAAGTCCCACTAGGAAACCAATGGAAAGCCGATTCTTGCAAACTATTGAATCCAACGCCAACCTGACTTTCTCCTTGAGAATCCTGAATGGTAAGTAAGGCTGATCTTTTCAGAGATCCAAGGTGCATTTTCAAGAGGCGATTTGGGGTGTTTATTTCTTAGAAGAACAAGTTTCGCTTTTCGCCCAAGAAAGACCCATATCCAGTTGTGACTAAACGGGGGTGGAATGCGAGGGGAATTTTCTCCCTCTTCAGAGGAACCATCTGCCCTATAATTTTTTTTGCCCATTGCTTTGGCGCCATCTCTATGAATCGCTTCACCCCAGATCCTGGTCGAGGGGCGACGTTAAGCGTGTTGTCCGGATATTGCTTGCCGGTTTGTGGCGTTGAAGGTGTGGCGGGTTTTGTCTCTCCTTCCAGAAAACTTCAGCGCTGAAGCTGCCCCTGAGGTCCATACGGAAGGCTCTGTGCTCCACGTAGAAGCGAGCATCCGAGCCAGCCCAGGCATCTTCCCCAAACTCTTTATTGAGGACTGCTATGGAGCCGATGCTCCACACCACAGCCATGCCAGGAGGATTGACATCATCGTGAATAACCACGGGTGAGGGGCTGTGGGTTATGGGGCTGGGCTGGTGGAGGTCTTTCCCCTCCAAAGAGATCCTCCCGCAAGGCAGCTCTGGGTGAAATGGAAGCGGAGCCAAGAGAATTTCTCTGCAAGGTGCTGAAGACGACGTCAGGATTGCAGCCTCCCCTTGGGCTGGGGTCTTGTTAGAGGGGCTCTCTTCCAGCTCCCATCATCCCCTGCTGTTGACTATGGTTGGGTGGGAAGATAGCACTAGCCCTTAGATTTATAGACTGCTTCACAATGCTTCGCAGCCCTCTCTAAGTGGTTTTACAGAGCCAGGCTCTTGACACCACCACCCCCAACAATCTGGGTCCCCATTTTATGGAAGGATAAAAGGCTGAGTCGACCTTGAGCCAGTCGGGATTGAACTGCTGGCAGTTGGCAGAATCAGCCTGCCATATTGCATTCTAACCACTGAGAATGGAGGGAGGGAGGGAGGGAGAGAGGGAGGGAGGAAGGAAGGAAGGAAGGAAGGAAGGAAGGAAGGAAGGAAGGAAGGAAGGAAGGAAGGAGGGAAGGGAGGGAGGGAGGGAGGAAGGAAGGAAGGAAGGAAGGAAGAAAGGAAGGGCAATAGCAATAGCCCTTAGACTTATATACCGCTTCCCAGTGCTTCCCCGCCCTCTGCATATGGGTTACAGAATCAACCTCTTGCCCCCCACAATCTGGGTTTCCTCATTTTATCCACCTCGGAAGGAGGAAAGGCTGAATCAATCTTGAGCCTGGTGAGATTTGAACTGCCAAACTGCCGGCAGGCAGCAGAAGAAAGCCTGCAGGACTGCGCACTCTTAAGCCCTGGGCCACCGAGGCACAGGTGGAGCGGTGGGTTCACCTGGGAAGCGCAGATCCCCTCCCCTGGCCTTGGCTATTTTAAAAATAAAAAAAGGTTTGTCACCTGCTTTCTGCCCTTGGCAGGTGCCTGCATGCCGGGGTTCCCGAAATAACCTGGTTTCGCAAAACAGACTCCTCCATCGTGTTCAAGCTGCCCGCTTTCCTGTTGACGGATGACTCGGAAGAGGTAGGAACGGGTGGGACATGTACGCCAGTCCTCAGGCGGAACTTGGGGAAAGCGAGGCAAACTGGTGTGACCAGGGAAACGCAAATTCTTCTCCAACAAGAATCCTACACAAACACACTGGCTGGGTGGCTGCATTGCAAGCTGAACTGTACCCTCCTTGCCCGCACCTGCCCCCATTGTACACTGCACCTCACTGCTGATTTTGGGTCGGTTTGAGGGTTTGAGGTGTTTTTTGGCCTCCCAGAGGCTTGAAAGAAGCGTTTTGCAGGCCGAATAATTTCGTCACTTCCGGAACGGGCCTATTATTTAGCCTGCAAAGGTGTTTTTCAAGCCTCTGGGAGGCCTCAAAACACCTCAGATCAGCCGAAAAATCAACTGTGAGACGCACACATGCACAGTGAGGTAAATATGCCCGCGGCTTGTGTGCTGTCACTAATGGCTCTGCGTGCCACAGGTTCGCCATCACGGATATAGGGTGTCCTGCTTAGGCAGGGGCTTGGACTAGATGACCTCCATGGTACCTTCCAACTCTTTTGTTATTCTACTCTATATATTCCAAAGCCGAGGCTTCATTTAACTTCTTTATAAACATGCAAAGTAAATTTTACAATACCGGTTGTAGATTTCTCCAACATGGAGCCAACTCAAACAGAAGCAGACATGTTACTGGTTCAGAACAGAACAGCAACTCTGGAGCTCAGAAACAGGCATCAGTTTCACTTTAGTTTAGCAAGTAAGCAAGTTAGTTTCTCTTTCACTTTAGAGCTGAGGGCCAATTCTCTTCTCTTTGCTTCCAGATCTATCTTCATTGCCTTCTCACAGCTTGGAGCCAGAAGCTTCCTACGACCCCTGGGAAAAAGATGTGCATCTTTGACAGCACCACCTCCAGGTGAGCTCTCAACCCTGAGCATCTCTTGACCTTCCATTTCTGACCCAACCAGGAAAAGGGAACGACTCTTATCAACCGGGCACCGGAGAACGTGGCAGCCCCGTGGATGAAGTTTTCGTAGCGATAACATGGAAGTTCCTTGCCATTGTTTTTTTCTTTTCTTTCCAAGATGTCTGTTTCCCCCCACCTCCCACCCCCGGTCTGGCCAACAGCCCAGAAATGGTCTGGAGTTTCTCCTCTGAGTAGCGATCAAGTTTAGCTTTCAAAATGAGTCCACGGAGATTCTCAATCATCCAGGTCATAGCTGTCTCAGAAGTGCTTTTTTCCTCTCTCTCACTTCAAAAAGCCACTTTTTTATCTGGAGGAGGAGGAGGGGGAGGAGGAGGGGGGGGAGGAAGGAGAAGAAGGAGAAGAAGGAAGAAAGAAGAAGAAGAAAGAAGAAGGAGGAAGAACAAGGAAGAAGAAGGAAGAAAGAAGAAGAAGGAAGAAGAAATAATTTCACTTCTCATCCAAGAAGCTTCATCAATTCTGATGGTGGGAGTGGGGTGGAAGGATAGGTGCAACTAATTTAATACCTGCAAGGCTTCACTTAACCACTGCAGCAAACAAGATTGTAAAACAGGGTGGGGGGGGGACTCATTCAACAACTAGAAACTGTGGAATCGGTGTTGGTCGTAAGTTCGAGGGCTTACCTGTACATACAAGGCAGTGGTGGGATTCAAAAAATTTTTAAAATTTTTGAATTCTACCTCTGATACAAAGACTTCCCGGAAAGTCATCCCCTTCAGGAAGGCCCCAAAGGTTGGGATTGCGTTATGATTCAGAGGATGAACGTTTCCTAAGGACGTTCTGTCTAAGGACGACGGCCTTAGAAATAGTAAGAGTTGCTTTTGGATTATTTTCAAAAGGTGGAAGAATCTGGACGAACTCTCCAAGTCATCAGTCTGCAGCTGTTGTGACAGCTACTGCCACCAGGAACCCGCTCCTCGTGGGAATCTCAAAGGTACCTGCTGTATTTTATTCTTTTTAAGCCGAATGGCAACAAGTTCCACCCAAGGTGAAAAAATCACCCACTGTGATTTCCATGTTGTGAATTTTGTGTGTTGTGTGAACGTCATGCCTATCATTTATAAACCATGCTTTACTTCTCCTCCTCCTCCTCCTCTTCTCCCTCCTCTCCTCCTCCTCCTCTTCTCCTTCTCCCTTCCTCCTTTCTTCTGCTTTTTTCTCCTTCCTCCCTTCTTTTCCCCTTCTCCCTTCTTTCTTCTTCCTCCTCCTCCTCTTCCCTCCTCCTCCTCTTCTATCACTTTTGGTGTGGAAGAAGTCCTTATATTTGGATCTAGTTAAGAGCCAGTTTGGTATAATGCTTAAAGGTATCCGGCTAGATACTGGGAGACTGTGAGTTCTAGTCCTGCCTTGAGCATAAAGTCAGCTAGGTGATTCGGGGCCAGTCACTTCCTTTCAGCCCTAGAAAACGATGTTTCTCAAACTTGAGCGCTTTAAGACGTGTGGACTTCAACTCCCAGAATCCCCCTAGGCCAGGGAATTCTGGAAGTTGAAGTCCACGCATCTTAAAAGTGCTCACGGTTGAAAAACATAATCTAAGAAGGAGGAAATGGCCAGCTGCTTCTGAAAAACCTTGCCAAGAAAACAGCAGGGAGACATCTCCAGGAATCGGACACAATTGAACTGAAGGAAAAATAAAAACGACCACCTGGATGGCCAAAGGTGGTTAAGCCATAGAGCGGGCTCCACAGCTCAGCCTAGAGTGGCTTCAGAACCTTCTGAAGACTCCAAATTGCTTCCCCTTGGAGCTCAGACGCACCTTGAGTTCCTACAGAAATTCGGGCAAATATTTGCTGCTGTGATTTCCTTGGTTTTCCCCTTTCCGCCACTAAGCGTGGGGTGCTTTCTCCCATTCAGGCTTTCTAGGTGAAGGGATATCACGCAGAGAACTCCTTGGCCCACTCAAAGTCCACAAGCAAGATGTCTCGTGGCTGGAAGGTTGGCATTTTTCCGGATCCTTGCTTATTAGCCACTTACAGGGCAGGGTGGAGTTTTGACCCTTGTCCAGATGGGCGGTCTTCAAACTCCCGGAATCCCTTACCCTAATTCCGGTAAGGATTCTGGGAATCGCAGTCCACGCCCCAGGCGAGGTCCCAGCTGGAGAAGGATGACCCAAGAAGCCCGTCAACGAACCTCTCCCTTCTTCTCTTCCGCAGGGAAGTGCCAGACCGTGAAGAGGATGCTACTGGTGAGCGTGGCCTTTGTCTGCAGCTGCATCTTGGCGGCTTTCTTTGTCGGGGTTCTCATAGCTTTGGTCCTGGCCGTGCTGCGCTATTATGGCGTGGTGGCCAGGCCCAGGTGGCTGAGGGCCCGCAAGGAGCAGCCTTTCCACACAGAACTACAGACGATGGTGGGCGCTTGCCTAGAGCCCGAAGAGATGGAGAAGGAATCCAACATGGATTCCTGCGAGCACAACAGCGAGACCCCGCAGAAAGAAAAACCAAACGGTGGAGGCGAGAATTAAAAAGCACCAGCCAAAATCACGCTAGTTCATACATTCCCCGGAGTCTTAATGGCTCCTGCGTCACTTCTCCATGCAACACATTCAACCACAATCTAGCAGATTAAACACACACACACACACACACACACACACCCTGTTTGTTTGTTTGTTTGTTTGTGCTGAACATCTCAGGTGAACTGTAGTTTATTTCATCTACTGCGATATAAATCAATATACTGCAATCTGTAAAGCAGGGTTTTGTCGGCTCGGTTCTTCCAGGGAAGGCTCCGCGCTAGCCGGGTTGACATGTTTTCCCTTAATATTTTTTGGGGGGGGAATGGCTGGAGGGGCTTATTATAATGTGGATGGAAAAGACATTTTAACTTGGGGAAGGGGGGTGGGAGGGTGAGCCTTTCCTTTTCTCTATTATACAGAACTTACAACTGTTTGGTGTAATAACCAACTTACAACAGTCCATTCAGTGATTGTACGAAGTTGCAGAGGCACTGGAAAATGTGATTTATGACAGTGGTTTGTTCACACAACCACTGTTGTAACATCTCCAGAATCACGTGATCCAAACTCAAGACGCTTGGCAAACGGTTCATACTTACGACTGTCGCTGTGCCAAGTTCACATGATCTCTTTTGGCAAGAGCAAAATTGACGAGGAAGCCAGTTTCGCTTAGCAACCGGGTTACTGGAACAATTCTTGGACAAGGGTTACAAAAAAACAACATGTGGTAAAATGGGCGCAAAACTCCCCAAATAGCAGCAGAAATATTGGTTGTTAAGTCAAGGACGACTTGCGCATGACAGAAATCTGCAATTCTGCGCTATGGTGCTAGGATGTAATTCAGCCAAGAGCCAACGTCGGTTTGTTTTCCCTTTATTTTTTAAGACGGCTAAAAGAGGAAAAACTACAGTGAGGTTGGTGAGAAACCAGTGGGACGGAATCAACTCCCAACTGTTGCAGATTTCAGTGCAATTAAATCATTGGGTAAATATCTAGTACAATTCCTCAGTGGATTTCACAGTGTAGGAGAAAACAGTGTGCTTCTTTCTTGCTCATCCTTGCTACTATATACTTATTTAATAGAATTTAAAGGTCACCCAGCTCCAGCTAAATTTGGGTGTCTTACATTAAAAAAAAAAAGTAAAGACTTACAATAATAATAATAAGCTGTTTGATTAAATAAGATCCATTTCTTGAAACAAGATCTAAAGATCGAGCTAAAATCAACCCAGTCCAGCTCTTCATTTTGATCTCCAGTACCTGAACACACTTTCAAGGAAAATCTCATCCCTTTCTTGACTCTCCTCTTCCCCAAAACCCAATCGAACAGATCTGCTACCCTGATCCACATTGAACCAATTTCAAAATAGATCCTAGACCCTGGAGTGAGAGGTAGTGATATGTATATTATATCTATATCTATATATATAAAAACACCGGACTCGGCATCTCAAAGTGCAGGCGGCTTCTTGTTGCTTTTGTAAAGTTTGCGAAGGCTGGAATCCATTAAGAAATCCACGGACCTGTATAACAGCCAAGTGGAGGGAGGGAGGGAGAGAGAGAGAGAGAGAAAGAAAAAGAGAAATAAAAGAAGAAAGAAAGAGAAAGAGAAAGAAAGAAGAAAGAAAAAGAAAAAGGAGAAAAAAGTGGCGAGAAAGATAGGGAGAGGGAAAAAAGGAATAAAGAGTGATATGTGTGTGTGTGAGAGAGAGAGAGAGAAAGGGAGAGAGAAAGAGAGAGAGGGAGAGAGGGAGGAGTAATTCATCAACTATTCATTTCCCCTGCCAGACAGACTTGTTAGCCTACAGTGAGAAACTTTTTGCTGGGGCTAAATAAAGGAATTTTTTGAGTTCACTTCCGAGGGTTTGTCGTGTTTGGGGAGCCGCGTCAGAACCGCTCTGCTCCCCCCTAACCCAAGAGGCTGGCCCAGCCCATACCTGTCAATAGGCTTAATGATGAAAGGGATGGCCGTAAGCCCAACGGCCGTCGTCGTCCATTTCCTAACCGGGAGTGGCCAGCGGGTCAAGCTGCCCATGAGGTAGAGGGACCCTGCGCAGATGCGGTTGATGGTGAATCCGGGGATGGCCACCGAGGCTAAGCCTTGCCAGATGAACGTGTCCACCATGGCCACGGCCGCCTGCATGGCCCTCCCTCCTTCCTGAGGGTTTGCCTGGTCAAAAGGAAGATTTAGAGAGTTATTCCTTATTTCTCCGTATTGAACAAATCACTGTAGCCTCTTTCCGCGGTGGTCTCTCACATGCCAGCTGGGCAGTGGTGGGATTCACATTGTTTTTACTACTGGTTCTGTGGGCGTGGCTTGGTGGGCGTGGCAGGGGAAGGATACTGCAAAATCCTCATTCCCTCCACCCCACTAACCTGCTTTCCAGCTCCGTTCTCCTGGGCAGGGCAACCAAAGAAGACCCAGCCAATCAGTTGGGACTCGATGGGAGGCAGAGAAGAAATGGGCTTGGTGGGGCCAGTCAGAGGCGGGATTGGCCGGTTCTCCAAACTACTCAAAATTTCCACAACCGTTCAGAACCGGCTGAATACCACCTCTGCGGCTGGGGAATTCTGGGAGTTGAAGTCCACGGATCTTAAAACCTCTCCGAGGTTGGAAAAAACACGATTTTCCTGCACGAGGAAACCTGTCCCAAGGATGTGACCCTCCAGCCTTCATACTTACAGCTGCCATGGCTTTTTTACCCTTGTCGACCGCATCCGCTGTCACGTAGGTCGTGGCCACGCCATAACTGGCCCAGACCACGGAGACGGGCACCAAAGCCCTAAAAGATTCTCCCACTTCATTAGCGTAGCCTGCAACAAACAACAAACCACATTCAACTTCTTCTGTCCTAGACCTGCCCCAAAAACACTAAGCCAACCCTGAGTCCCAGCAAAATCCTCTTTTATTACATTAATGTGAATTTATGTCATTCACAGTCAGCCAACGGCTTGGCAAACCGTCTTGTGAAGGTATACTGATGAGCTCAGACCTTTATCAATCCTGGAACGCTGCCCAGTAAAACTCCACACTCAGTGTTGACAAGGAAGGGCTGGGTTATAACGGACAAACCTTCACGAGGCTGGAACGAACGAACGACTGAACGAGTTGTTTCCTACAAAAGCCCCCTCCCCTTTTGCTTCTCTTTTAATCCCCATGAGGGGGGGCATTCACTGTCCACCTGTGGCCTTACTCCCACGTCGACCCTGAGTTCTTAATTGTGCCTTCCTTTTGACAAAATTTCCCCCTGCCTCACTGCTGTCCCAGCCTAAAGGCAGCTGATGACTGCCAGCGTGCCCTGGCCCCATCTCTGCCTCTGATGCAGAGCCCTTGTCCAAGCCTTCCTCAGCCTCCAGGACTGGCCCAGGTTCCTCCCAACCTCCTCAATGCTGTCTGACTCTGCTGCCAGCTCCACCAGCCGCCGGCGGGCCACAACACAGCTCTTTCATTTCCTCATCCCCATTTTAATCTGCTTCACAGCCCTGCAAGGTAGGACAGGCTCAGCCATCGTGACCCTGTGTCTTCCTCCTGCTGCACTGTACCTTGCTTCTTGGCTTAGCAGAGGGTGTAAAAGCAGCTCCTTTCACTATTCAAAACGCAACACGAGCCCCAATTGGAGCTTTGTGAACAAACCACGATTAAACAAATGATGATTGAGCACCTGACTTTCCCCACGGAGGTTGTAAGTCATAAAAGGGGGCAAAACCCACTTAACAACAGAAATTTTGGACTTGGTTGTAGTTGTAAGTCAAGGACTACTACAGCCTCTTCTTAAAATACCCCAAAAATGGAGAATGATGCTCATTGATTGATGGATTATGGACCATCAAGTCAATGTCACCTCTTTTGCGAGCCCATACATTTCTTCCATGAAATAAAATTTATTCATCAAGCATATATGACTGTAGAATAACCATTTATAGACAACTCTGGCCACTGGTTTACCTATAATTTGTTTAGACAAGGGTTTGTCCGCTCCCCTACTTCTAAAGATTCAGGGCAGTTTGGAATATAATGTCAATCAAAGCATACAAAAATATTAAATATTAAAAGATACAGAATTTGTTCAGAAACATAGAGAAGAATTAACATGATTTTTTAAAGAAAATAATAGACAACATACATCGACACAGAACCTATGGGACACTACGAAGGCATTTACCTGTGGGATCATAATATCGTATACAGCAAAAAGGAATAAGGAAAGGTGGACTCAACAAAATAATCTGCAGGAAATAATTAAAAAATTAGAGACTCAATTACAAGTCACCCCACAAAATACCAAATTTTTTTTTAAAATTAATTCTAATAGACAGTTTACGTGGGCAGGCTGGCCTGGTCCATCGTCCCTATCCAATTTAATTTGTTCCATCCCAATTCAAGCCATCAGCAATTCAGATTTTAATTGAATTAAATCAGAAATTTAATTTGGGTCGGACAGCTGCTCCTACCGTCCTGCCCTTAAGGGGGCAACCTCACCGTAGGAGCAGCTGTCCGATCCAGATTAAATTTCGTGATGTTGCAGCACAAAGAAATGTGTCCTTGCTGCCTTCTGCTGTGCCCTTCAAACCACAGCCTTTTCCTCCTGGCCGCCTCAAGCACAGAGCCCTTCCTCAGGATCCAGAAAGTCACCTTGAGCCACACTTCCACGTCCAGCTGACTTCTCTCACTCCAAAAACCCCAATTCTCACCCTTTCAGGGCCTCCTTAAATTGTACCCCAACGCCCTCCGATCTCCTGCATCTGGCCTGTTTTTTTAACTCCGAGGCTTTCTTTTAAAAACAACCCATTTCTGCCATTTGTCAGATATCGTCGTGTAGGGTCTCCTGCTTGGGCGGGTGGGGCTGGGGTTGGACTAGATGACCTACAAGATCCCTTCCAACTCTGTTAATCTATATCTAATCCGTCTGTCTGTCTATCTGTATCATCTATTTATCCATCCATCCGTATCATCTATCTATCTATCTATCTATCTATCTATCTATCTATCTATCTATCTATCTATCTATCTATCTATCTATCTACCCACCCATTATCTCTCTCCCTCTCTTTGCCTGTCTATCTATCCATTATCTATCTATCTATCTATCTATCTATCTATCTATCTCCATCCATCCATCCATCCATCTATCCATCTATGCCACATTCACACAACCCAGCCAAGAAACCTAATGAAGGAAGTCTGCAGTTCCCACAAGGCATATAAAGCCACCAAAGGGTTCAAGCGACACACAATCTCACACACAGACCCACAAAATCCCATCAAGGTTAACACTAATTCAATTCAAAATGTGCTCTGAGAAGGGTTTAGTCCTCGATTTACAACCGCAACATTTTTTTTTTAAATTACCAAGTGAAACATTTGTTAAAGGAATTTTGCCCCCTTTTGGGCCACAGTTTTTGAGTGAATCGGTGCCATGGTTAATTTAGTAACCCAGTTAAATGAATCTGGCCTCCCTGTGTATTCTGCTTGCCGGAAGGTCGAGAAAGGGGAATCGCGTGATTACCTGGGATCTTGCAACCGTCATAAATATGAGTCCGTGGCCAAACATCCTAAACCCGGGCATCCTCAACCGTCATCTATCTAAGTTTGTGGCCAAGCATCCAAAATCGGCTCGCGTGAGCCCAGGGATGCTGTAACGGCTGTTAAGTGTGAACCACAGGCTGCAATGGCAGTTAAGTGTGAACAACGGGCTGCAAGGGACGTTAAGTGTGAACGGGTTGCAACAGAGGTTAAGTGCGAACAAAGGTCCTAAAGTCACTTTTCCCTGTCCCCTCGTTACTTTGAATGGTCACTATAACCGAACTGTTGTAAGGCTAGGACTACCTGCCCAGCAGATTTGATTCTAAGGGGGCTTAGGAGGGCGGGAAAAGGTCGTGTGAAGGTAACAGATTTCTGCCCGCATCTTGGGCAGGTCGGCTTGCAAAAGTGAAAGCAAATGCCCCTTCACTTTCGGCCAAAACAAAATCCCTTCCGCCCAAACTCCCTTTTACTCCGGAAGGCTCTCCAATAAATTCCCCCCTCCCTTTCCTTGCCCGGGATCCACTCGGATTACAGGATCTCCCCTTCTGCTCGCTCCCCAGGCGCCTCGTTTTTTTCCTCCTGCCTCCGGGGCGCAGCGCGGCGGCCACCGGGCAGCCCCTCCGGACCCGCGGCGGCGGAAAAAGCGGCGCCTCTTCGCGGAACACTCACCCAGGTAGCGCACCCAGGTGTCCCGGTAGAGATCCGGCGGGGGATCCGCGGCGCCCGGCCCAGCCATGCCTCCCTCGGCCGCTCGGCCGCCACCAGCGGCGGCTGCAAAGACGCGCCCCGCCGCCTCTCCACGGTGCGCCCTGGGCGCACGTTGCACCTAGGAACCGGCCCCAAAGCCCGGTCCAAGCCACTTCCCACTGGCCGCGGAGAGGGCGGGGAGAGGCGGAGGAGGGGCGGCCGCTGGGCCGGGTTCCGCTTCGCTCTCGCCGCTGCTGGAGGACGGCTTCCTGCTCGGCCCCCTCGGGCAGCTGGGCTCAAGCTGGCCGGCGCCGGAATGGACCAATTCGCCACGGCACAACTGGCCGCGGGACAATTCAACGATTCAATTGTTTTTAAAAATATTATTAATATTTTTGGGGCATTCCTATTTCCTTTGGTCTCTCCTTTGGCATCCTTTCTTGCATGATTCTGTTCCACTAGTTTTCTTCCCTTGGTAAGCTGGCAAAGTTCGTTTTTCTTGCTATGTACATGAACTAGACTGAGTTGGCCATGGCATGTTGGCCATGTCAGTTGGCTGTGGCGACTTGGCTATGTGAGTTGGCCATGTGAGTTGGCTGTGGCGACTTGGCTATGTGAGTTGGCCAAGTGAGTTGGCCATGGCGAGTTGGCCATGGCGACTTGGCTATGTGAGTTGGCCAAGTGAGTTGGCCATGGTGAGTTGGCCATGGCGAGTTGGTCATGTGAGTTGGCCAAGTGAGTTGGCCATGGCGAGTTGGCCAAGTGACTTGGCCTTGGTGAGTTGGCTATTTGAGTTGGCCTTGGCGAGTTGGCCATG